GAGCATCTTCAGAAGACAAGTTGATAAAATAAATTTTAAAAATCTGTGTTGTTCAATACAAGTGTGTATTGAACCTAAAGCACTGTGTTCGATACATGTACATGTTTTGTTGCACCCCTAGCAAACCCATCAGGCACAGAAACACAGGGTAGATTGGAGCTGCAGCTGCATGRGCACCTTTCAGCTCCTGGAGCCTTATCTCAGAGCAGCTGAGCCCGGAGCGTCGGGCCCGGCGGCGCTGAGGACTCGTGTGTGAGACTGAAGCCACCCCAGATCCGTGACGACGGCTCGGGCCTGACTCTTGAAGGGTGGACTCACCCCGGTCTGCCCGCTGCGGGCCTGCAGCACAGAACGGAGCGCAGGAGGTGGACGGCTGAGTGCTGAGAGCCAAGAATGTGAGCACTTACTCTGTGAGGATCTGGGTCCATACTTAGCCTCAGTCTTCTATCTGACTTTTATTTTTACACTGTTGGAGAGACACTGGGTCCACTCACTGACATCAGTTTGGAGTTTAGGRCGTGGGATTATTCAGAGCTGTTATGAGCAGTCAGTATCTTACCTGCAGAAGCACACCCACTTGTGTGTAATCAAACATCTGCAGGGGGCTCCCTGCAGTGGCTATGATCATGAGGTTTTGGACTTCATCCTCAGATAGACGACTTCTCTGCTGCTACACTCTTTCATCAACATCGTTGTCGTCGCTGGGCTTTTTGAAAAAACTTTGAACACTCAGCTGCCACGACATCATTATTGTTATGATTGTTAAATCAAAAATAAATGTGGTTTTCATCACCGTCTATCTAAACACCTTGAAAGTATCCTCTGTCTCTTTAAGATCCTCCTACCATTTCTGACACTCCCACTTCAGCACGGCTGCTGACTGAGCTCCAGGGAGGAGCTACGTACAAATAGGCGGAGCTTTGTAGCAACAAATGAGAGCATGAGGAGATTCAAGGATTTGATAAATATCAAAAAAGTCACTTTTGAATAATAACCCCCCCCCCCCCCCCGGACAATATATCATTAAAACAAATAATCAGTCTCAGTTGAATCACTCTAACAGAWGAGTCATGTGTTTACATAATTTACACATTTAATGTTGTTTTTTTATTTGCTATTTTAATTGTTTACTAGTTAATAGAACCGTAAAATAAACATCTCTAAATAATGTTGATCCTTATGTACCCACCAAGTTTGTTTTCTGTTGTTTTGGTGGAGGAGGGTGGGGTGTGGGGGGGCAGCTTGAAGTGAACCGGATTAATTTAGTGACTCAGATGAAATCGAGTCCTTAAAGGGAACTGAATTTACAGTTCAGTGACAGCCTCCTACTGTGTGTGTGTGTGTGTGTGTGTGTGTGTGTGTGTGTGTGTGTAAGGGGGAGGAGCCAGGCGGGCAGAGAAGCGGAGCTGCTGAATGAGGGGGAGGGAGGTAGGGGGGAGTTGCCTTCACGGCGCGTCCCTCTGCTGCGCGCGGAACACGGAGGTGTAGGGCGCGTTTTGCATCTACTCTGAAGAGCGGCGACACACACACACACACACGCACGCACGCACGCGCGCGCACACTCTAGCTTTGGATGCAAACATGACACGAGCGGCGGGCTGTGCCGCGAGCGCATCAGAATAATCCCGGCAGACGCAGAGAGCCGCCATGGGAGGACAGATCACCAGAAACACCTTGTACGGTAAGAACTGAACCCTGCTGCTCTGCTCCGTCCGAACCGGGTCCGGATCACTCAGGTTCGGATCTGAACGGGTCTCAGGTTCTGTCGGCAGGTACCGGATCACCTCCACGGCCTCTTAGCTCACCGTGACGTCACTCCGGGGATAGAATGGAAGCTCTCCGGACGCACAGCTGTTTTCTGACAAACAGGAGGAACAGAACCGGAAGTGGGTACCTTCAGGGTTTCTCCTCCCGGTCCTGGATGCTGCCGGAGCCGGATGGGGGGGATGAACAGGCGCAGCTGCTTTTGACGCAGTTCTCCCTGATCTGGATCCTCCGTCCTGATCCGGATCAGAGGAGCTGCTGGAGTAATCAGCAGATCGATGGATGGAATGTAGGCCAGCATCCGGCCTTGTGTGGTGACAAACAGCCGCAGGCCGGTTCATACCCGCCCCCCTCAGAACCAGAAGAGACCAGGACCACCAGAAGCCTGATGTTTGGGTGAAAACATAAAAGAACAGGAGGAGAAGCTGTGAACCTGCTGCCTCCTGATTGGTCCAATTATGAATCCAATTACTATAAGCAGGACAGGAGGAGAGCTGCTTTTCTCTGGATGAAGGTCGAACACCTCAGAAAGTCCCTGTTTACAGGTGACTCACAGACCTGGACCCTAAACTGGACCCCACCTAAACCTGCTAAAACCCATCACTTTTACTGATATTAAGCTAAACATTRGTCTAGAGGGGCCAAGTCTTTGTTCCGTATCCTTGCACACAAACCCCTGGTTTTGGTAAGGTGTAAATATTTAACCAGTCCCAGATTTAAACACWTGTAATTTTAAAAAAGCTTGCACAGTAAATGCTTCTTACCAATTTTACATGTGTTTTTAGCATCAGCACTTTTGGRCAAAAGACAGATGAGTGACAGGACAGGGGCACTTCAGGGGGGCAATTAAATTTCAGCAAGGGCCAATGCCCCTGTGGCCCCAMCCCTAGAGCTGCCCCTGGTCTGGTAACTTTGACTCTGAGCTCCAACAGATTAGCTGKTCACAGCAYGGCCCACATTAGCTKTTAGCTTTTAGCTGTTGGATAGGAGCTAAAGGCAAGGTAAAAGTGCAAACAGGACCTGAAKTAGTATTTGTGCGTTAATCTGTTCAGTGTTAATCTGGTCAGTGTTTGAGTTAATCTGGAAGCACTCTGACTGATTGTCTCTGCTCAGATAACTGATCGTTTCAACCTATCGACTGATTATTGATGAAGCTGTCAGCAGGACAGTCAGACTGTTCTTCTCTGCAGCTCTTAAAACACTGAGAGTCTGTTAGCAGCAGCAGCAGCAGGAGGAGGAGGAGGAGTGGGCTCAACTAAATTTAAAATTAAATCACTGCCCGTTGCCATGACCACCGACAGAGTTGTGATGCCGTCCACCTCTTGTGTAACTCGTGTTTTGGAGAAGACAGCTGATGGAGTTCAGCTGATTTCATTAGTTTCAGAAGGATGAGGAGCAGATGATGGTTTCTTTGTTATCAGGACGTCTGAACGCTGTTCGTGGAGTGGGTTGCGTAACACGCCGGGTGTGTGGGAGACTCTGCGGTCCCCGCTGACTGAAAGTCTGAAAGTGGGTCATGTGTCTGAGGTGAGCTTCATGCAGCGTCTGGCTGAAACAGACAGGAAGAAGTGAGCGGACCACGCTAACGTCACGAGATGCACCGATGATTCATTCAGCACCAGAGGCGGGAGACGATGTAATCATCTGTTAGCAAAATATCTCATAAACCAGTGAAAAGGTGTTCAACTCATTTTCACTGTGGGCCACATGAGGCAGCGTGGTACTGAACAGGAAACACCTTGTTCCTGAGCTCCGCTAACAAACACTAACTGAGCTCTACCTGGTGTTGCCTGCATAGAAACAGCATTTCAAAAGTACTACGTGTACTGACTGAACGTGAAATAAATGAAACAGAAATACTATTAAAAGTAAAAGTACGAGAGTTTTAYTCAGTAGCTGTTGTCCTGACTTCTCAACTCTCCCACTTTCCTACAGGGAATTCCCACTGAAGAGGTGTTTCAGTTAAAATTTACCACTTTCTAAGTGGGATATTCCCACGACCCACTACATCAACAGCAAAAATAGCTGATGAAAGTTTAGCAAAACTGAGTTTTCACACGGCAAATATTGATTTTGACAAAGATTTATAGTAACTAAGTACATTTACTTTGTTATAATACTTAAGTATTTTTTGAGGATTTGTAACTTTACCAAGTATTTTTTAAATCGTGACTTTTACTTTTACTTCTACTTTACTAGCCTGGTAAAAACCAGACCCTGTCCTTCACTTTGCTTCATACAGAGGGTCTGGACTCGCGGTCATAGAGAAGCGATTCCTGCTGGAGGCGTGGCCTCTGTTGAAGCATGTGTGTGTGTCACTGTGAAGGAGGCTAAGCTAAGAAGCTAACCGGAAATCGCGTGTGCTGTAAACAACCCTACTGAGAGGAGAAATATACCGAGCCAAACGAGACGGCTGTAAATGAGAGCTGCTGCTTTGTCAGACAAATTWATTTTAATTTGAAGCCTTATCAACACAGACTGGCTTCATTCACTTCCTCCACTGCTGTATGCTAAAATAACTAGCAGACACTGAGCAGAACATCRACGTCATTCAAAACTCCTCCTTCTGTTCTCTGATTGGTTCAGGTAAAATAAACTACAAGCAGACACTGTGCAGAAAATTGACGTTCTGTTCTCTGATTGGTCCAGCTAAAAATCTGCCAGTGAAATCCTTGTCTATGGGAGAAATGCCAGACGGAGCAGAGAAGGAAACTAGAATTGAGCGGAGCTGCGTAGGAAGGCAAGGGCCAGGCTACTACTTTACCAATTTTTGGGAACGGTTTTATGACTTTTACTTAAGTAGTTTTCTCATCAGTGACATTTATTTTTACCAAAGTCATTTTATGTTAATGTATTTTCACTTTTACTTGTTTATTTTTTTCAAGTACTTAATAGACCTCTGGATTTTGAACCCTGAGCAGCTCTACCTAGTGGTGGGATGTCATCATTTTGAGTTTAAAATAATCAACATGCATTATGGGAGATGTAGTTTATAGTCAATGCTGGCTTTAAAGCAGCTTATTTCAGGACGTTAACACATCTTTGATGCTCTCATGGGCCACATAAAATGCTGTGATGGGCCACATTTTGCCTGCAGGCCTTGAGTTTGACACATGTGCTTTAGAAAGTTTATCACAGGATAAATATCTCTGCAACTGACTTATATTTGGAGCCAACCAGATTTAAGGTGGCTGATAAAAGGACCTGATTTCACACAGAAAAAGTTAAAAATTAGTCAGTTTTATGGATATTAAGTTAAKTTTTTGTGTKGKAGTAGCTGAGCCTTCCCTCCAACTCATACCAACAGAGCTCAGGATCTACCTGAGTCAAGATGGCTGCTGCAGATAATCAAACTAATAAAACCCAGCAGCAGCTCTTCAGTCAGACTTCCTGTGGATGGACTGAAACAGAACTCAGAGACGGGACCGGCGGGCCACAGTGGGTGTCTTCAGGTGGACCTCGTCAGTCCGTCGKCTCACCTTTCTGCACCGGATCAGCAGGCTGTGAATTATTGAGAGGAGCGTCTCGGAGCAGCAGGACGCTTTATTCTCACCTTACTGTTTCCAGCTGGAGGCATCCTCCACAGCTCATCGTTTTCCTGCTCCAGAATGGTTTTTATTGATTTTATAGTGAAGAGGAAAGTGAACTGAGTTATTGTAGAGAGGTTAAAGGGTGACGATGCAGCTGTTTGTTTAGGAAATGCGGGATTTTCTTTATCAAAACGTCAAAAGAAATGTTCAGCAGCAACACCTGTGTCTAATTTACCTGCACAGCACTCTTAAGACATGCAGACAGAAGCGTTTAAAAAAAAATATGGTGTCGCTTCTGGAAAGTTTTGTTAAATTCTATCTGAGATATTTTACTAACAGACATGGATGATTGTCCTTTGGCCCTTAGCAGCAGGTGATTAAAAACAAACAAAATAATCATTCCTCTGTGTAACGTTTCGGTCAGCTGATCCAATCAGCTCTGTACAGACC